CCTGGTGAGAAACAGCATGCAATGGTGATGTAGCAGGAAGAGTATTAGCAATGGAAAACGTTATTTTCTCCTCGCCATCCCTCAAGACTAAGGTCACGTCATGCACATCTATAAGGGCCTTGGCGGTGGCCAGGAAAGGCCTTCCCAGTATAAGTGGCACTTCTGTGTCCTCATTGATGTCCAAAACAACAAAATCCACATGATAAAAGAATCTGCCAACCTTAACCAGTAGGTCTTCCACTATGCCCCTAGGGTGAATTATACATCGGCCAGCTAGTTGAATACTCATCCTAGTTGTACTGGGTTCACCTAGGCCTAGTTTCTTGAACAATTTATATGGTATCACATTGATACTAGCACCTAGATCCGCCAAGGACCTCTCAGCATGCAATATACCTATAGAGCATGGGATAGTGAAACTACCTGGGTCCTTCTGCTTCTGCGGAAGCTTGTTCTGCAGAATGGTCGAGCACTCCTCACTGAGCTCCACAGTGGCCAGCTCGCTCAGCCTCCGCTTCTTCGAGAGAAGCTCCTTCAGGAACTTCGCATACTTAGGCATCTGAGCTAGTGCCTCCATGAAGGGTATTTGAACATGTAGCTTCCTAAGCATGGACGAGAAGTTGCCAAACTCTGCCTCTAGCCTGTCTTTGTGAATCCTGGTGGGAAAAGGGATCTTAGGCTTATATTCAGCCAATACAGGTTGTGGCTTTGGAGCTTGATCCTCTGGCTCCTTTTCCATCACCAGGTCTTCTTCCGGCTCAGGGGTGATCTGGGTCACCTTCTTGGCACTCTTCTGTGGTGCATCCGCAGTCATAGTCCCACTTTGCAGCATAATGGCGTGCAACCCCTCCTTATGATTTCTAGGATTCGGTAGGGGTTGGCCAGGAAGTGTGCCAGCCGGTTGGGAAGCAAGGGCATCTGCCAGGTGCTCGATCATGGTATCCATATCCTGCAGGAGTGCCTACTGGTTTCTCTTGCCAGCTTCAATCTCCATGAATTTACCTGCAGCCACTTCCATGAATTGCTCCAATTTGTTGAACTTTTGGGTACTAGTGCTCGCCAAGGTAGTCACTAGATCCCTTAGTTCTGACACGGGATCGCCCGGTGCTGGGACTGATGGAGGTGCACCAGGTTGCTGGTACTGCTGCTGTGGGGGATGTTGAAAAGCCTGCCCCTGTCTGGGCTGATAGAGGGGTTGTTGTTGCTACATCTGGCCTGGCCAAGGCTGGTATGGCTGCCTGTGGTTTGGGAAACTAGCTGCGGGAGCCTGGAAGCCGGGTGGCTTCGGATTTCTGTTGCCGCTCCAGGAGAAGTTTGGATGCTGGCACCATCCCTCATTGTAGGTGTTACTATAGGGGTCGTTGCGCCGGACATTGTTGATGAAGTTCACCTGCTCCTGAGGTGTACTAGACTCACGCATGGCCTGGCAGTCCTCCACAGTATGATGGGTGCTCTCGCACCACTGGCAGAGCATCGCCTGCTGATGTCCTGTACCTGCAATCATCCTGGAACGATCGAGGGCTGAAACCAGCTTTGATACCACCTGCACCAAATCAGATGACTGGGTGGATACAGCATGCACACCCCATCTTGGTGCTCGTCTCGACCTCCTAGCAGTGCCCCAATAATACCCGTTCTCTGCCATCTCCTCAAAGAGTTGATTCAGCTGTGGTGGTGTTTTGGTCAGCATGTTCCCGCCACAAACCGAGTCAATCAACTGCTTGTCTTCTGGGAAGAGGGCGTGATAAAAGGTGCCCACCTTGAAAGCATCAGTGAAACCATGATTGGGACACCTCAAGAAGAGACTGTTGTATCTATCCCATGCGTCCCAGATGGTCTCATCTTCATCCTGGATAAAGTGGGTGATTTGCTTCTGCAAGTCCGCCGTTTTTGACGGAGGATGATAGCGGGTGAGGAACTTGTCCGCCAGATTGGCGAACGTGGTGATAGAGCCTGGAGGTCGAGTGTCTAGCCACTCCTTGGCCTGCCCCTCCAGGGTAAATGGGAAGTACCTTAGCTGGATGGCATCAGCTGGGACCCCATTTATCTTGATTCCATCGATGAGCTCGTGGAATCGCCTCAGATGTGATCGGGGGCACTCCCCCTCTTTGCCATGGAACACCATCGAACCGCGCCGCATTGTGATGACAGAGGTGCTCACCTCAAAGTTATTTGCTGGCACATGAGGGTGTTGAATGGGCGACCTCATGTCCGCAGCCCTGGCGGTCCAGTAGTATCCCATGGTCTGTTCCTTAGGAAGGACCACATCATGGTTCTGTGGATCACCCATCTCTTCTTTGTCGGCGATTTGCAGCTGTGCTAGCGCCTCCTCCGCAGCCAGTCGCGGCTTTAGAGCCCACTTGAAGTTCCTGCAGGTTCATTCAAGCTCCTGGTCTTATGGTAGTAGATCTCCCGACTGGCTACGGGTCATGCACTACCTGCACACAATCAGCAGAAGCAACCCGTGAAGGCACACAGGTGGAAGAGAGAAAATGCAGTAAAGAAAAAGCTAGAGTAACAAACTTTCACGTTTCCCCAATAACCTAGTGGCTCCCTGGCAACGGCGCCAAAAACTTGACATGCTACGACACAACACCAAACTGCGACCAAGTGTAATCGCAGTCCGGAAATGCAGTAAAGTGGCAAGTCTAATTATTAACCCGGGGTCTAGATCTACTGCCTACTCCGTGAATATCTATTATCTAGCCAACTAAGTTGATCGATTGTTGTTTTAACTAAAAGCAGAAAGAAAGCAGGAAATGATTCGGTTTTCTAAAGCAAAGGAAGAGTCACTCGGGAATGAGTCCCCCTAGCTCCTTAGTTAGTCTCAGTTGTAATTACCCTGGGTTGATTTACTATTGATTAAACTGCGGAAGATCCGACTGTAGCTTGGAATCTCTTAAGCTGACCAAGCCCTCTTAGACAGAATACTCGGCAGGCGACTAGCCTTCACCAGGATAGACTGCTAAGGCGATTCACACAGATCTCCACTACTGGAATGAATTCCAGTTAAAGCAGTAGACTGACTAACTCTCGTATAGCCAATCTACTACTACCTAATGAAGAAGCTCTAACAACCTAATCAGATTCTATTTATCTTAGGTTGCAGCAGAAATCAAGAAAAGCTGATCAGACTTCAATCAATTCAATGAATCATGCATCATTTGATTAGAACCAAACAGTATAGCAATCCCAAGTCGTTACAATCAAATCCCTAACACATGGAACTAAGGTTCTTCATACCCAAGTGAGAGAAGGGTCTACTCCATAGAGAGAGAGAGAGAGAGAGAGAGAGAGAGAGAGGAAAACAGAAATCAGAGTAGTCATACTTATAAAGATGAGGAAAATCTGCTATGGGATGTCAATCTTCACTCCTGGGGACGCAATATGGGCTTCAATGGTGAGAAATCCACTCCAAATAGCTCCTAGGGTTTGTTCTTTGCCCTTTCTCTTTCTAAAACTCTGTTTTTGCTCTGAAAAGTCGACTCCCCCTGTTTTGGCTCGAATTTGCCTAAAAACCCCATTCCGGGCGAATTACGGGCAGAATTATTGTCGTAATCATGGTCTGCCCGTAATTTCCCAAAACGCGCGTTTACCTTGACTCGAAAGACAGGATTTACGGTCGTAATTTGCCAATTACCGCCATTAATTACAGAATTTCGACCTTAATTTAAGTGACTCTTGCCCGTAATTGACTCTGCGATAGGAATTCTGGAAATTAGGCTAGGCATTGAAATTACGGGCATGCCAGGAGCAATTACGACCGTAATTGTGCAGGGGCTGCCCGTAATTCTCTCTTTGAAACGCACCTCGACCTCCAAATGACCCGAAACTTGCGCCTATACACCTCTTTACTTGCTAGGACCTGAAAAGCGATAAAACAACACAACCTAGCGTAAAATAGGCCAAGGAACAACAACTTCGAGCTAAAATGGTCAGGAAACAAGGGTGAAAACATGTGCAAATACGATGCTATCAAAAATCCAAAAGGGGAATCTTCATCAGTCAAACTAAATATCTTCTAAACACGCTTAAAAAATTCAAGCTTGATAATCTTAAAGTTGCTGTCACAACTATGGGATCAACAATCAAATTAACAAAGGATGAATTTGGACCTTCTGTAGATGACAAGATATATCGTGGAGTGATTGGTTCATTGCTATACTTGACAGCTAGTCGGCCAGATATTATGTTTAGTGTTTGTGTCTGTGCAAGATTTCAAAGCTCCCCTAAAATGAGTCATCTAACTGCTGTAAAAAGGATTTTTGATACCTTATTAGCACCTCTCACTTAGGATTATGGTATTTCTGTGATGCTAGCTTAGAACTGATCAGTTATAGTGATTCAGACTATGCTGGCTGTGTTGTTGATAGGAAAAGTACATCTGGTACTTGTCATTTCCTGGGAACTTCTTTGATCCCATGGGCAAGCAAAAAACAAAGCTAAGTAGCACTATCCACTGCAGAGGTAGAGTATATTGCTGCTGGACTGAATTGCACTCAGTTGTTATGGTTAAAATACCAAATTAAGGATTACGGTGTAGATGTAGGCACCCTGCCAGTATTGTGTGATAATAATACCAGTGCTATTAATATGACAAAAAATCCAATTCAACATTCTCTAACCAATCACATTAAAGTATGATATCACTTCATTCGTGACTTGGTCCAAGAAGGAAAAATCTCTCTAGAATTCATTAGTACATAAATGCTGTGGGCTGATATCTTCACTAAACTTCTTGGAGCAGAAAAATTCCTATCTATTCGTCAGGAACTTGGACTATTCACTCTCTCTGACACTGAATTCTTAGGATCTCGAGAATATAAACTTACCTTCTCTAATGAACATTAATAACACACAATTTCATCTAACCTTTCCTTATATCTCCTTCTCGAATATTCGCTAGAGTTAGTTTTCCCTATATATAGATGAGTTACTAGGGTTTTGTCCTGTATCCATCATCAACCCTCACTAAAACTACCATTCAACCGTCACTCTCAATGGCTCTCAACAATGCTCAGTTGCATCCTGCAACAATTTTCAACAACCAAGGCTTCCACAATGCTGCCACCTACTCCAGATACCTTCGCATGTTTCGAGATCGTCCCATTTACCCTTCCTTTTCAATTCACCCCTCTGGGTTGTCCAAATATGACATGAATATTCCTTCTCTTCTTGATGGTCTCGGCTGGAGCTCTTTGGTTGAGAACATGCATTTCAGTCACTGTCCTGAGGTAGTGCGTCTGTTCTATGTCAATCTAAAATATGGCCCTGGCTATGATCTGTCCTTTTTCACTGCTTACGTGTTGAATTATGAGATCACAGTCACTCCCACTCTCCTAGCCGCCATGCTCAATTGTCCTCACTCAAGACTTAAGGCTCACACATATGGTGAGTTTGCTGCTCTTGAGTTTGACTTTAATGATGCTCTGACTAGTCATACTCGTGACATAGGGCAGTTCTTTTCATCACCTCTAGCGGCTGGCCGTCTTCCTGACGATTTGAAGGTTCTCCACTTCTTTGTCACTAGGTGTCCTACCTCGTGATCTTTCCAACACTGACATCCTTCACTCCTCTGATCTCTGGATCATATCTAGTGCCAAGGCCAGTCGATCTATCACCTATGCGTCTCTAATGTTTCATCACATGATCAAGTTTGGTCTTGAATACTTTAGTGGCCCACTACCCTTCGGGCCTCAGATCACCAAACTCCTTTATCGGCTCGACATTGACCTGCGAGACAAGGTCATTGTCTGCAATGTCTTGGACGATTTATGTCCACAACACGTTTTGGCCAAACTGGATGCTCTCTTTGGCGCCCGTAAGCTTGTCACTGGCTCAGGGGGAGTCATGATCAGTCTTAAATCTTATCAGTCTGAAAGACTAGTTGATGCTCTTGTTGATGCAGCCATGTCAGTGATCAAATGAGAATCACCAGGATCAAGGAAACAGACTGCTACTCTAAAACCGCTTAGGCAACAGGACCTGATGTGGCCTAAGTTTGTGTATGAGTCAAGGGCAGTCAATGATCCAATGACTTCTGACTCAGAATTTGATAATGAAGATGGCATCTCGGAGCATGAGTCACCTCTAGAATATCAGTTCTAGAAGAATCAACTAGCACTTATAGGGGGAGTTTTAGGAGTCTTAGTAACTGTTAAGATGCTTAGAGTCGTATTGAGTCCTTGTTTTATTATGTTGAGTTATTGAGGTTTCTTGTTTCATTAGTGCTTTATTAATGAATAAAGAGATTCTCTCTATTATTTCTTTTATGTTCTCAATGAAGACAATGCGGTTAAATTCTCGGTTTATTTGTCAGAACAGGGTGCACCAATTGTGTGTTAAGTGTGTGCAAGTGACAGAAGGAGCCAATGACAAGCTTAGGGGGAGTTTGTTGGATGAAGCTTGATCAATGGCACCGACAAATAAAGGAAAGAAGAGAAACAGAGGAACCGTTAAAGCAACAAAAGGAAAGTAGTGATATGGAGATCAATTATGTTAATCAAGAGACCAAATCGACTCCCTAAATCAATCAGGCAACAGTCAGCAGAACAAAATTATATAAGCTGGAGATTTGGAATAGAATAGACATCCTTTCGAGAAAGCATATTCAAAATTCTGAGATTGAGAGAATTGTCTGAGTTTTGAGTGAAAGGAAGTGTGAACTGTCTGGGAGATAGTTTATGTAATCATCAGGTTGGAGCTTGGCAGGGAGCTGAGTTCCACATGAGATTCCGATCTTGTGACAGGGAGTCACAGTGATATTGCTCGTGTACTCTATAATCAAACATACGATCATAGTATAATGTCAAAGGACTCAAATCAGAGTGCCTTTGACCGTGGACTAGTCGAAACTGAATTCTCAGTATAGGAAACCACATAAAAATCGTGGTGTCAATTTTGTTTTACTGCCATCTTGATCATATCTGTAATCTGTCTCTGTTGTGTAGAGATAATATGTTTTTGCAGGTTCTGTTCGTCGACAGAGAAGCTCAATTGAACGCTGGGAGTTTACGTTGAAACGCTGCCGGTTCAGAAGAAGAAGGACTTGGGCTATAGCGAGCACAAATCGCCAAAGAATTGTGCTTTTAGCCCAACAATAAAAACAACTATTCTAATCATTGAGTTTAGTTTATTTCCAATCAAAAGACTAAATATTTTATTCTCAATTTCAATTGTTTTTGTTTCTCTTCCAATCGAACAGATTAGGGATCTTGAATAAAATCGAAGAAAGAAAGAAAGAAAGGAGGAAAGAGGTAGGGTGATTACTGTTAAACCATTGTGATATAGACTTATAGATCGAGGTTATAAACTCCTAAGGGATGGCTAGGATCATATTCCACAAGTACTTTTAATGCATAACTACTCATACCAACCATCTATGACACAAGAAAACAAGAAAGGCATTTTGGGATTTTCTCTTTAACAAACAAGTAAGAACAATAAAGTTGTTTATGTGTTTTTCAATTTATAGATGCATAAAAGTACAGATACATTATTGTAGAAGAAGCAAGCTCGAATACTATCATGCATGCTAAGGCTCAATGACAACATATTTCAATGATTCATCTGTATTATCACTCTATCTCTTCCACTAAAGCTATTCTATACCTGTGCATGCGCCTCTTGCGATAGAGATTTAACTGGCTAATGTGTGCTTTTGCTTCATTGAAGAACCTAATTAATGATAAACAAGTAAGTTAGGATAGCACATGATTAATTGTGTGCTTCTACGAGCCATAATGGATGGTCTATAACATCAAAGATATAAAATCAAGGAGTGGTACTACTCGAGGTATAGATGGTTGATCATTCCCTCTATACTCGTGTAGCATCAATGGGGTATCACTGTAAGGTAATTTCTTATCAATCTTGGTAACAGTAAGAACAATGCATGTAGTATCATACTATAGAATCCTAAGCATCGATGATAAAGAAGCATTCATATTAGATAAACAACAATGATCATCACACAGGCATCGAAACATACGAATCCATTCATAGATAATGAGCTTCAAAATTCATATAGATAATCACAAGCATGGCATGAAAGGGTAACATTCATTCACATGAAGATAAACAAGTTCACATCTTCAGAAAATCAATTTCAAACTAGCTACATAGAAGAGAAGAAGAGTACCACTATCGATGATGGCACCATCTCCTTAGATACAGACTCTCCTATAGAAGCTAAGCTCTTTCTCGAGCAAAGTATAACGTTTTTTTTGTGTTTGTGCAGTCTTACTGAGCTAATGAGTCATGCCCTCTATTGATAGGGGTATAACTCTAATAAAAATCTCCTAAATCGACTAGTAAAGGGTGTCCTGCTCCTTTTGGGCTAAGTAAACTTCTCCAACAAGGCTAGGGTTTAGTGGTGGTAGGGCAACGGTTGGACCGCCACTCTTTTTGTTCTTGGTCTCAGCTCCTTTGACCTTGGAAGATCCTCCCTTGCAGTTTGGACACCTCTTGACCAGGCCTCCTCCAACGGCGGTTGGACCAGATGTTGGGCCGCCATTGGTTTCTTCATTAGCTTTGACCTAGTCTTCTTCCTATGAGTTTGTCTTGAGATTATTAAGCGACTTCTAGTTGAATTCTATGCCGGTTTTTTTTTATATGTACAGAAGGCATCAAACAGTACAAAAACATTTATGTCTATTAAAGGCTGATTGATCAAATAGTTGTGATTTAGATATTAAATATGATTGAAATAACTAAAGATGTTTTGATAGAAATCATCCTCAAGTTGGCAATCATTTCACCGGGTGAAAATTTTACTTGTACTAGAGAGGAACTAGCATCATCTTGTTGGACTTCCCCACTAAAGCTCAACTAGCATTTCTTCCAAAACCCGATTTAGTGCAATGAAAAGATGTCTCACACGTTGGGCTTACCCCACACTTTATTTTTCACATAGCATGACAAATATTCAAATGAAACAATACCTTGATGAGTATAAATTTTTCATTTTTCTAAAGATACCGTTTACCCTTTGAAAACTTTTTGAAACATGGTACTCTTTTGCATAATCAGAAATCTTTGAATAAATCCAATAATATTGCATTCAAACAATCATATGGTCATTACATCTCATTGACTGTCACATTCTTCATAGTCACTACACTATCCTCCCTAGATCAGGTGATGATAAGTTGATAACTAGGTTCGAAGATTCGAAGTAAGATGAGAAGTGATCATGCTAGTAGGGGATAGCTAAAGTCATTAGAAGGAAAAGTGTAGTGTCTATTTTTTATCCAATCTTTCAGATTCTTTTATATTATCCAAACCTATCGAAATACTAAGAATTAAGCAAATGTTAACTTTCAGTTAACAATTTTGTTAGTAATATTGACTTGCCAACATGATACTGACTTGAAAGAGACACATGAAGGTCAACATTGCAAAATTTTAGTATTTTAACTAAGACAAGAGTTGCAAAATTATTAACGATAACATAAAAATGACTAATATTTTGATGCATTATGAAAGATTTGGCTAATTAATAGCATTTTAATAGGTTTGAATAATATAAAAAAATATGGAAAAGGTTTGGATAATGATAACGTCGTATTTGCACATGTTTGCACCCTCGTTTCTTGATCATTTTGGCTTGAGTTTTTGATTTCTTGGACTATTTTACACTACGTTGTGTTCCTTTGTCATATTTCAGGTCCTAGCATGTAAATTGAAGCATAGGCGCAAGTTTCAAGTCAATCAGAGATCATTTGGCAATTCGGGAGAAGAAATCCGAGCATGACCTGAGGAAGAATGGACTTCTACCTCATATTATGGACAAATAATCATTGATGCTTGTCATGAAAAGAAGAGGATAAAACTACGACCGTCTGGGATCAAACGACGACTGATTTGGAGTCCGAACGAGGAAGAAACGAAGCATTAAACAGGAGCGGAGGAAGAAATACGGGCAGGAGAAATACGACCGTATTTCCCCTCCCATGCCCGTATTTTCACTGCCGAGAGGAGCCTTGGATGCGCTGAAACTTAACCAAAACGCGCGTTTTTGGCAAAATACGGGCAGGGAAGAATTACGACCGTAATTCAGCCCGTATTTCGCCCAGAATTGGGTTTTTGAGGCAGATTCGAGCCAAAGGTGAGAGAGTCATCTTTTTGGAGCAAAAACAGAGTTTTAGAGAGAGAAAGTGCGAAGAACAAACCCTAGGAGCTATTGGGAGGGGATTTCTCACCATTGAAGCCCATATTGCATCCCCAGGAGTGAAGATCATCATCCCGGAGCAGATTATCCTCATTGTTATGAGTATGACTACTCTGATTTCTGTTTTCCTCTCTCACTCTATGGAGTAGAACCTTCTCTCACTTGGGTATGAAGAACCCTAGTTCCACGTGTTAGGGATTTTGATTGTAATGACTTGGGATCGTTATACTGATTGATTTTAATCGATTGATGCATGATTTATTGAGTCAATTGAAGTCTAATCATCTTTTCATGATTTCTGCTGCAACCTGAGATAGATAGAATCTGATTAGGTTGTTAGAGCTTCATCAATCGGTAGTGGTAGATTGATTATACGAGAGTTAATCGATTTACTGCTTTGTACTGGAATCCAATTCCAGTAGTGGAGTTTTGCGTTCATAGCCTATGCTTTCTATCTCGGTGAAGACTACTCGTGTGCTGGGAAGTTGGACTGAGAGGGCTTGGTCAGCTTAAGAAATTCCAAGCTACTGTCTGATCTTCCGCATTTTAATCAACAGTTAGTCAACCCAGGGTAATTACAACTGAGACCTAACTAAGGAGCTAGGGGGACTCATTCCCGAGTGACTCTTCCTTTGCTTTAGAAAACCGAATCAATTCCTGCTTTCTTATTGCTTTTAATTAAAACCACAATCAATCGACTTAGTTGGCTAGATAATAGATATTCACGGAGTGGGCAGTAGATCTAGACCCCGGGTTGATAATTAGAACTTGCCACTTTACTGCATTTCCGGACTGCGATTACACTTGCTTGCAATTTGGTGTTGTGTCGTAGCGTGTCAAGTTTTTGGTGCAGTTGCCGGGGACTCTCTAGGTTATTGTAGAATCATGAAAGTCTATTACTTTAGCATTTACTTTTATGCATCCTCTCTTTTCCACC